CCTAGCCTCTAACGCCTCAGACATGGAGGATCTCTCTGTGTTTACCTTATCATAAATATGTTGCATCTCATCTTGGGTAGCAGACAGCTCTGTCTTTAGCGTATTGGACACAGAGCCAAGCTTATCATCCAATTTCTGTCCCACTTACTGCACAATTGTGGCCTGACCTAATTTGTTCTCCAAAACCTCATTTTGTAAAGCTGTTATTTCCTGCAAGCAGGTGGTGAGGTTATCTTTGTCCCTATTCCTGAGAACTCTGGCTAGGAATGTTATTTGTACCAGCAAGTTAACTGCCATTACTGCATATAGGCCAGTAATTGGCAGATTAGTGTCCTCCTCAAACACTGAATTCATGTAATAAGCAAAAATATTACCAATTTTAGCAAATGATAAATATTCTGTCATGATTTTACCTGATTTCTACTCTTTGACCAGCAGGTGGCGCAGGTGTTCAGTTAGTCTGCCCAGCGTTTGGCAGCGGTCATGGCAGCGGTGGACAGAGGTGGAGAGAAGTCACAAAGGCAGCTGCACTTAGCTTAGTGTATGATCTTGCGACGGCAACCACCGAATGAGGCGTGGCTTTACGGCCACTGCCTGGACCCTGCTGAAAGCCAAGGCCTACTCGGCTTAAGGGCAGGGGGCCTCCGGGCACAGGTAGGCAGAAGTCCGAGCTGGTCCCGTGCACGCAGCTAGAAACTGTGACAGTAAATGTGGGATGTCTGTGAAAGTCTCCCAGCTGGTGGATGGAAGATTCAGAGAGGCTCAGCGGGGATGCACTTGTGGCACAGCGGGTTGGCTGCGAGCCAGGAGCACCTGTGGAGACAGGGCACTTTCCCGGCCTAGGTGCTCGTCCAGGTGGGACCCGAAGGCTGTTCCAAATGGTGCCTAGGTTTACAATATCCGGCTTCCGACAACCAGATAATGTGAGAAATTACCAAGCCAGGTAAAAATACAAGGGAACTTAATAGGGAAAAGCCTTACTTACAGAGTGACCTAGCCAGCCGGCAGGTCAGCAGTCCGTACAGAAAGCCAAAGATGAGCGAAAGCAGCCCACCACGTAAGCGTCCCTCACTCTACTCTCCCTGACCACGCCCTCACGTGTAATCATGTAATCATGGAGGCCTGAGTTCAGATCCCCAGCAGCCATGTTAAAAGTTGCAATTCCCACACTGTGGAGGTAGATTCAAGAGGGTGCCAGAGACCTGCTGGTTTGTCAATCCAGCCAAATCAGTGAGCTACAGGTTCAATGGCAGACCCTGTCTGAAAACCACCAGACATGGAACACACACACACACACACACACACACACACACACACACACACCACACACCAGAAGGGTTTTTTCTTTCCATTTTGGTTTTGTTGGTTTGGTTTGGTTTTTGATTTTTGGTTTATGGAAACAGAGTCTCTTTGCAGCCCTGGCTGTCCTGGAACTCACTATGTAGACCAGGCAGACCTCAAAGGCACAGAGATCTACCTGCCCTGCCTCCCAAGTGCTGAGATTAAAGGTGTGTGCCACCACACCTGGTATGAAAGGGTATTTTATTAGGCTGTCCATGGGCCATGCTCAATCTATAAAAAGGCAAAATCAAGGGAATTCAAAGAAGGAGCTGAGCCAACAGGTATAACAACAATAACCTCTTATCTTTCCTCTCAGTTCATTCACCGTCAAATAAGAGTTTCAGTCAAGAGACTCTAAGGATGACAACCAAGTGAGGGACACAGCTTAGAGCCAGGTTTAGCCCAATACTTACTACTTACTGGTTAACTGTGAAGCTTCTCTTCTACTCCTTCTCTCTGGGATATCTGCTTGATGTAAAAATAGTCTCAATTACACCTAATTGTTGGGGCTATCAAGTGGATTAAAGAGAATGTGAATATTCAGACCTGGCCCAAAGAACACACACCTTGCCTCTCTGTCTTTGTCTCTCTCATGTTACCTTGGCTACTCATAAGTTGGAAGCCCTCCCTTCACCCCTGACTACCTCTGACAAAATGCCAGTTGGTGCTGGAGCAGCTTCAGTGGGACTCTGTCCTTGTACTGTACTATATTGTGTTGTATTGAGAAGGAGAATATTGGACTATTGACTAAGTAAATGTAGAGACTGTTAAACTTTGTTTTCTTTCTGAGAGTTCTTTTGTTCTGGATCACTGCATTGCTAAATAGACTCTTTTGAATTTGTTTGGTTTTTTGTTGCATGTGCACACACACACACACACACACACACACACACACACACACACCTTCTGCCTGTGTGGGGGCACACTGTGTGAAGATGATGGATTGTCCTCAGTGGCTCTTCTACCTTGTTAACTGAGGAGGAATCAGCTCACTGATGTGTTTAGTCTTGCTAGGCAGCTTGCTCTGAGGATGTCCTGTCTCTGCTTTCCAAGGCTGGTATCACAAGCGGAAAGCCCCTCCCGCACATCATTTCCAGGCAATCTGGGAATCTGGACTCTGATACTTACATTGGGGCAGCAAGTGCTTTGACCACTGAGCCACCTCCCTGTCCACTTAGATCTTTTGGTAAAAAACAATTTTTTTCCAAAAGTCTTATTTGAAGTCTCAAGTATTTGAAACAGCCCACTTCACTTGGATGGAGCTTGTCTACCTTTATTAGCCTTCAAAGAGTCCCATCCACTTCCAAAGTAAATCAGTATTCTGAACTTCTCTTGGTCTTTGTTCCCAGTTTTTGTAAGCATTCCCATCAGAACCTGAGGCAATTGTCAGGAAGTTGTTTCTTTTAAAAATGCAAACACCACCAAATCTCTAAATGTACACACTGCTTGACATATTTGGTTTGTTTCCCCTTTTTAAAAAAAAGTTTTGAAAACCAAAAATAAAGGGGGTATAAATTTATACAAAGCAAAAAAGAAAATTAGAAGATGCACTTCCTGTTGAGTTGGCTGAAGCATTTAAGTGACTAACTTGTTAGATCCAGTTTAAACTGAACACTACAAAATTTCTTATTAGTATAAATCCATGGATTGTTCTGCATACACATGTACTGACCAGTGGCGTCCAAGGCATGTTTAATTATGAAATAGAAGGAAGGAAAATGCATCTTCAGACACAAGTTAGGAACTCTCCCACCACAAACAATGTTTGATTTGTGAATTGTAGGGTGTCTATTTTATAATTCTGTATTGTGTATGGGACTTAACCTTAACACTTGTTTTTTTGCAGTGTGTGTGAGTGCTTGCATGTGTGGATGGGTACCACATGGGTACAGTACTGGCATAGTCCAGAAGATGGCATCTGATCCCTGCTTGGAGGGGATGGGGTGAAGTTACAAACATGGTTAGACTGGCTACCATGTGGGTGCTGGAAACCAAACTCAGATCCTCTGCAAAAAAAGCAAGTGCACTTAACGCTGAGCCTTCTCCATCTCACCTGGATTGATTGATTGATTGATTGATTGATTGACTGACTGACTGATTGATTGATTGATTGATTGATTCTTATGTGACAGTTAAGTAAGTAGCTCTCTAGAGCATAGTCGTAAAGAAATGATACCATTTCCTTGAAACCAGAAGTGTTGAATTTGGAGACAGCTTCTGGATTTCATTGGCAATTACTTCCTGAGCTCTGTAATAGGCAATAACCTGGAGGTGCAGCCTGTGGGTGTTCCCAACACTTACTTATACAGTTCAGAATAAAACAAAGAAAGTGTATGTCACACTATGCTTCTGTGGCTTAATTAGATCAAAGTGCATAAATTTCATGTAAACAAATCGTCCATCTGTCCGATTACAGTTCATTAACACACGGCTCCTACATATCCTTTACTTAACCCCTGTGAAATATTAACCTGAAGTCAAGATGATGAGAGAGAAGTGAAATGCCATTCAATTTTTCAAACTCAGAAAATAAACATAAAAGAGCACTGGACAGGTTGCTGTCTGTGTGAATTTTCTTCTGGCTCTGAGGAAAGTACCAGGATCCAGTCAGAGGAGCAGTCACATGACTCAGCTGGCCACACAGCAGGAGCAGACATCCCATAACCCACTGTGCCTCTGACTCACGACACTCTTCACTTTGCTCTCACCCCTCCCTTGGAGCCCAGTTGGAAGATGGTGGCTCCAGTCAGAAAATCCCTGCTTCATCAGACTGTCAAGAATGACCCCTAGGTCACTGCAGAACCTCATCTCTCCCAGCTAAACCAGGACCTTTTGCCCTGTTCCTCATCTCAGAGAAGTCCCCCTCTTCCAACTCTTCTTCACACCTCCCTCTGTGTGAAGAGGTATCCATTCTAACCCTGAAATTCACATTCACAGTCGGCTAGGGCACCAGTCGCTCTTTGTGTTGCAGCAACCTGAAACTTCCCAGAGGAATCCTTAAGTCCTTCCTCCCATTCCCTGCACCCCTTTGTCTGAGCCTCAATTTCTCCATGGGCCCCACACAGGTTTTGGGATGCCTTGCATGCTCTAACATTTGCAAGCCAAGGAGCTGACCCTGGCTCACCACGCCCTGGTTCAACTTCTAAGCCTCTGCAAGTCCCATAAACTCTCCTAAGCCTAACTGTGTAAACACATTTTACTGGGCCTGGCCATTCTGCCCCCACCTTCTGCTCCTCTGTTCCACCTGGCCATTTCTCCAGCACCACGTCTCTGCACGGCATCCTGTGTCTATTCTCCAATCCAGCACCTGAATTCCATCCCAACTCCTAGGGTGGGGACTTGTTTCTCTTATCAGCCCGCCTTCCTCCTCGGTTACACATAGTCCTTTGAGGAGAACTCCTGGCAAGACAGAGCAGTAACAGTCAGCTCCGAGCCTGGGGCTTATTGGACCGACAAAGAATCTTTGGGGCTGTCTCCGATACAGGTAAATGGTGACCGAGCAGGGAAGAAATAGAAGAGACCCAAAAGAAGGAGAGGCAGGTAGCTAAGGGGTTTAGTATGTGATTGGAGATCAGGCAGAGAGTAGAATAAAGCCAACAGCAGCCGCGAGACACGGGGGTCTGAGGTCTGTGAAAGAAAACACGGGCCTGGCAGTGACCCAGTGTCACCCTTCCTGAAGATCTAGAGAGGCACAGGTAACCTGGAAGTCTCATTCTGGAGACTGGAAGCTGATGTGCGGAAATCCAGGGAGCAGCTGAGAAGACCCCTCAAGCCACAGGGAAGCTCGGGGCTCACTTGGCCACCTACGGCTTATAGGTGGCACCCCAGCCTCTCAGGGTCTCTCTGGGGCCAGCAGGAAGGGGACACAAGCCAGAGAGAAGACACAGCTGGATGCTGGCTACAAACTTCACCCCACCAACTCTGCTAGCTTTCTCCTTGTTTCTGTTGCCCTTGAGCAGTGATCTCCAGGACCCTTGTCTTGGCTAGTGATTGGAAAAGACGTCACTTCCAAGAAGACCTTCTCTGGTGGCAGCCATAGACCTGCACACACAGGACAAGCACCTGCCAGCTCTTCCGCTGGAAGCTACCTCCCGGTCTTGGAGGTGTACAAGGTCCATGGAAGTCCCTGTGTCCAAGGATTTGTACCCAAATCCCCCAGCTTCAGGATCCTTGATCACCACCACTGTGTGCCCTCTGGGTTCCCAGAAACTCCAGGAAGAAAGTACACCACCCTCTGCTGGCATCACCCTGGGCACACACAGAGTATTCCTTCCAGCAGGCTTCAGGACAGGCCATGGCAGGCCCTATGACCCACAGGAACATGGAGAAGGAGAGTTCAGGGTACAGTGAGGCCCCAGAGAAGCTGGACCTGTCCTTCTCCATTGACGCTATCCTGAGGAAGCCCACAGAGAGAAGAAATATGCCCAGACCACAAAGCATAGGTGGAGAGGACGCCAGGCAGACAGCAACCCCAGGTTCCAAGCTAGAGAGGCCCTCACAGGATCAGCTCCAAGGTAAGTGATTTCTGATCATTTTCTTTTGTTTTGTGGACTCTGGGGAGGCTCTGATGGTCCTTGTGAATCAAACAGGGGAAGGGGGTCTGTGGCATCCAAAGGGATAGTAGGTTCTAGGCCAGAGGCTTTTTAAGCCTTTCAGTCTAAATCAAACTGTGGTATTCAGAATGCAGAAGCTTACCAGCTCAGTCCATTCAAAATGCATGGTCATGGAGCTTATTCTTGTGACCAGACTATGACTAGGAATTGTCAGCCACATTCACCCTGCATTGACAAGGTGGCAGGCACTGCCCTTTCATTTGGGCAAAATTATGGTAACTGGACTGATGAGGAAAGAGGTGGCAATATCACCAAGTTACAAAACTAGAAGTCACAAGTTGAACTCGGCCTGGCATACCCAAACCCTTGCTTCTAGCATATTCTCTCCATGAGTTGAGCTCAGCCTGCATGGCTTCCAGCAGTTGAAGCTTTGCCAGGGTCTGTCTTCACAAGACTCCCCACACCCAAGTCTGAAGCCACCCTAGGGCATGCACCTACATAACAGACCAGATAGTTTTCAGGTTCTTCTTCAAGCCAGCATTCACTCAGGGCAATAGATAGTCCTTGCTGTGGGAGCTAGGATGGCCGGTGTGGGGGAGGGGAGTTCTCTATCCTGCCTTATCCTGCTGTGTGACTTTAGGGAAGTCCCTATCCTCTCTGATCTCAGTTTCACTCTGCGAAGCAGCTCTGTGAAGCATGGGAGTTGGGATGTTGGTGATTGTGAATTCACAAAGGCCATTTAGTCAGAGTCTGTAAGCCTGGAGTATCCCACACCAGACTTTGGTCTTTCCCGTTTTCACCCTTTTTGTCTAAGAAAATGTTAGGCAGGAAACTCAGGGGAGTCCTTAATGGCATTGCCTCCCCACACAGACCCCGGGTCCTAGCCAGTCTCTCCCAGAGGTTCCTTATAGG